GCCTAATTATTTCAAGTCTGGTGCAAAAACGCATGATAGCACCGGCTCGCCTGGTGCGTTCCAGCCTCGGTTTTAGTTTTGTGAAGGGTGAAATTGATATTCACGTTCGTAGCGATTTTTTTCGCTCGGTAAACATTTCTTCAGTGTTTCTTCAGTTTGAAAGGGAATATCTCTTAGTGTCTTTGGGGTAACTTTTATTAAGAAAAATACCATTCATTTTAATTTTTACAAAAAATTGGCTGCAAATTTTACTCATTTTGCTTTTAGGATATCGATTAAGCGATCGATTTCTGGATCTGTTAATGGTGAAATTTGACAGGACACATACGCATCGTGTTAATTTTGACGATTTCATCCAGCTCTGTGTTGTTTTGCAAACACTTACAGCAGCATTTCGCGACAAAGATACCGATCGTGATGGCATAATAACAGTGGGATATGAAGAATATCTAACGATGGTATTTACTTCCAATATATGATCAGGGAATTTCCGTGACTGCTGAAGCAGCGTTTTGCAATGGCTCTTATTCTAAAATGACACCTCACTGTTGCCTTCACTGATCCGCTCGGGAATCTAACAACATATTCTGGCATTAACTGAAAACGATCCTTTCTTTGAATTAGCTGAAGCCAATGAATTTCTAGAATTCATCTGTGCACTTTTTTGCACACATTTATTGTTGGGCAGCGTTTTTCCTGCATGTTAATCCCCTAAGTTTCTGTCAAAACGATTTACAGCCCTACCACTGATTCCAGTATTCGCGGTTGTATTGTTCAAAACCACTGTTTTTGTATGTTACTTACGTACAAATCATAATAATGAGTTTTTTTGAAACTTTTTTAGATCTTATTTAAGAACTGGGTTTCGCGCCTAGGAAGTGAAAAGGAGGGCAACATCTTTAAAACGGCCCATTGCTTTATTGGCTTATCCCGCTTCCCCGTCATTTTATTGTTGCCCGTTCTTTTTGAAGCGCAGAATTAAAAATCCTAGAACGAAATGCTACAGGGTTGACTGCATCAGTCCGTGCAAAAGTATTTTTCCAGAATTTTCAAAATTTTTCACTTGCGCCTTCATCACTTTTCGTCTTTTCTGATTGCGCATTTTTTAACTGTACATAGCTCATTTTTGCACTGTGCATATCTCACCTTTGCAGCTTAATGTGAACACTGTCCAGTGTGTTCTCACATGACTTTGCCTTGTAGTATTGAACGTCTTCATAAACGTTTGCATCCCGATGTTGCATATTTCGCAAGCTACACCGCGCTACAATCCACTGCACAATTATTTTATACATGCACAGCCCTTGAAGCACAAAAAAGCATATTTTCTGTGGGAAACGAAAATTTTGCGAGATCAAAAGCATGAACTACTCCGTCGTTTTACGGATTTGCGAAAATTCAGTCGGTCAGTTGATATCACTCACCTGTAATGCGAAAGCGTCGAACAGTCCATGTGAAGGTCCCATGCTAGTGATTGTTACTGGGATGCTTCTAAACGCTGGGCTTAGCTGTACCAGGCCTTTTTGATTTTGAGCTGTATACTTTCAGTTAGTACCAGATTGGTACTGTGTTATAACGTAATCATAAATAAATGTGATAATAATAATTATGATGTTCGAAAGGAGGATTTATGTATGACTAAATGCCACGATTATCCCCAGTGAACTCCTGCATCGCGTACTTTCAGTATGTTCCGCCAAAAAATCTCCATGCGAACTGATTTATTGCAGAAATTAGCAAAAATCAAGGCTCACTCGCCTTAAACATCGCAGGTTCTTTAAAAATGAAAAACGGCGGTTTAATTTAGCTTGCTGCATACACGAAAGCATATACAGTTTTGGCTAGAAGATGTTTTCTGGTAGCACCGGTCTATTCTATTTTTTGGCGCAATTTTTCCGGCATTTGCAGTACGCCAACTGTTTATTCGCAAATTTCGCCTTTTTAAAATAAAATGCTTTAAGCTATCACATTTTCAGGCCTTTGGTGTGTTGGTTGCGATTGGTTAACAAGACACCAATTTTTTGGCATATAAATTTTGCGACTGTAGCAACAGAGTGGTTAAGTTTTTTCAAAATAACACACGTTTTCATACGCTCAAGCTTTCGTTATCTCAATGGACTGGCCTCAAAAAATTGTATGGATGCAATAAAATTATCCAAGGACGCCGGTTGGAATGGAAGTCACAGCTTTCATTTCGCGGATAAACTTTTTTTTTGCTTTGAATGTTATGAAATAATTCATGTGGATTGTGATATTTTTTGGATTGTGACATTTTTTGTAACGTTTTTATTTTCTTCTAGTGGGCTGAATACCAGTTCTTGTTTGCAGTCCCTGTA